ATTCCAAAGGCGGCTGCAGAGGGCATTATATGAATTCCTACAAGTGACAGACAGGTAAACCCAACCAGACAGACAGGAACAGGAAGTAGAAAAACTCATGTCCTTTTTGTTGCCTTCCTAAAGAAAACTAGCCGGTTTGTCCTGTCTGCAGGGTAGCTTACCAAGAAGTCATTTTCTGGTATGGAAGCATGGAGTGAAGTCTTCTTCAGAGAGGCACTCTACAGTCTAGAATGCTGTCTTTTACACTATTACATTGTTAGGTCAGGAATATATATATAGTCTTGTTGTGTATTACCCAGAATACTTCTGGTCACTATCCAGTGCATTCCCTGGGTCCTGGAGTCTTATTCTGTATTTTATGCGCTCAGGTCTTCATAGGCACAAGCAGTGTGGGCTCACATTCAACTAATAAACCACCCAGCTCAACAGACAAGAACAATACACCTGGCTGAGCAGCCTGTTGATACTTTCTTGAATACAAGTAGAGGAAGGGAAAGTGGTCACAGAGAGGATTTTGTTAGCCAATGCAGCCATTGCAAGTGTCCCTGCTATTGCTAGACTGGGCTCCAATGGGAAGACTTTCTCTGCAGAGCCTGTGGTCCTGCAGGAATTCCTCCTGTGACAGGTCATCCATGCCCCAGCTGACTCTGTCCTGGGCTTTCAGCGTCTGATCCCCTGTAAGCTAAGATGCCTCATTCAAGACTCACACATCCCCTCAGGAAGACATGGACAATGAAAAGAAGCCTCCAAGTGTTTGTTTCTGTTTTCGTTTTCTTTCTGGTTCTTCCCAACCACACAGAAACTTACTTATTAATGCTTGTTCTAACTAACTCCTACATCTTATTAATCCGTATAGTACATTTTGCATCACGGCAAGTTCATCTTGTTTCTCCCTGCATCCTGGTGACTGTGCCTCTTCATCTCTGCCCTTTCTTTTTCCCTATTCGCAAGTCCCACCTGACTTCTTCCTGCCTACCCATTGGCCATTAGCTTTTTATTAAACCAATGAGAGCAACACATCTTCACAGTGAACAAAAAGACCATTTCATAACATTTCAAACAGGGACCAAATTCTACATAGAAACCAGGTCATATTCTAGCTAAAAAGTGGGCTGAGATATTTTCTCTTCTGGTTCACTCTTTTGCAACTCTTTCTCCTCCTTATTGGTTAAGAGCCGAGGTTAAGCTTCTGATAAACTGACTGCAATGTCTAAATCTGAACCCCCCAAAATGACATAAAGCAGGAAAGGTGTGTCTGTGGTTACCCCAAGGTAACTGATAAAGTCCCTAAGGAGAGAGATACTGGTTTGTTGGGCTTGTCTTACACATTGTTGTTAGACTCTGTTCTTTGGATCCTGTCCCCTTTCTTGAGAAAACCGTACAAAAACAACTTGGATTTCTGGCTTGAAGTGTTTGGGATTATTTTCCTAACAGTCTTAGGTAGTGAGTTTGCATCTAAAGTTTGTCAGAATCATCAACATTCCAAGCACTCAGCACTTACCAAACATAGGGCATTCAAGATAGTCAACTCCTTGTCTCGTCCATAAACCATCTGAGAGTTAATTTTTCAGAACAGTGTCACAAGCAATTCTTACCTGCATGTCTGCATGCTAAGCCAACCTGCCAAGCTGTATAACAAACCAAGAACAAGGAGGCCACACATGAGTGATTTTGCCCTGTTATCTAATCAAAGCTTGAGGTTCCTGAGAAAGCTCCTCCGGTCTGTAGTGTGGTCCCTGATGTCCTGTTGCTCTTCACTACCCAAGGCTCTCCAATTTAGATACCTAGCAGATAAGAGTACACTCAAGTTCAGACAGCTATTTTAATTCTGGGCAGGTACCTTTTGCTGACATGGTTTTAAGCTTTCTAAGAGTTAGGGGAAATAAAACAGCTAAAGCAGCAAAGCATTTGAAGGTCTAGCTTGTGCAGAGGGTCAGCCCTTTTCTGGGTGTTTGTAGATGATAGTGAAATTTCAGAGAAATAAAATACTTGAAAGGAGATCATTATAAAAGTTCTCAGGCAGCAAGAGAAATATCTCAAGAGTAGGGATGTAGTTTGAATAATGAAAGCTAGTGTTGGGTATGGTGGGGGGGGGGAGCTGGGATAAAAGAGGAAATGGTCAATGCCAAGAATGGAGACAGTTAATACCACTGAATGTGAATTCCAACTATTAACTGATTCCAGAGCCTGTGGACAGCCCCATGGCAACTCTTCTGGGGTTCTCTTGCTTTGGTTTGAGGAACCGCCATGGAAGCATGCAGTGACAGTCTGAGCTACTCATACTAACACAGTACAAGCCAGTCTTTGGACAGATTGTTAGGTCAAGTTCTAATGTGTCTCCACAACTGGAAATAAGCTCCAGCCCCTGGCAAAGCTGGACAGACTCTGCAATGGAAATGCACTTGGTTTGCCATCTTCTCCCTGGGACCAGTATATTCAATGTGGTGGTTTGAATGGAAATGGTGCACAGAGGCTTTTGAATGCTTGGCCCTTGTTTAGTGGAACTGTTTTTGAAGGATTAGGAGGTGTGGCCTTGTTGGAGTAGAAGTGTCACGGAGAGTGGGCTTCGAGGTTTCAAAGACCACACAGGCCAAGCCTATCTTGCTCTCTCCCTTTCTGCCTACAGCTCAGAATCTGGGTCTCAGCTACTGCTCCAGTCAGTGCCTGTCTGCATGCTGCCATAATCCACACCATGGTGATGGTGGCCTAAACCTCTGAAACCGTAAGCCAGCTCCCCATTAAGTGCTTCCTTTTAAACATTGCCTTGGTCATGGTGTCTCTTCACAACAATAGAACAGTAATCAAGACACAGTAACCCTGCTGTCCTCAACCCTCGGGACGAACTCTAAAATCGCACCCATTCCCCTCATAAAAGCTACAAGCTGCTGAGTCACTTAATTGGAAAGCATTCCAGCATATTTTAGTAATAAGAGCAGAAATCTTCTTAGACTTATAGACACAGTCTACTAACAGCAATGTGGTAAAACCAGGAACCATTCATGTCACCAGAAAGGAGAAATGGTGTGGTTGCCTGGAGACGATAACCCAGTTCACAGGATGATGGAGGTAGGCTTGGGGATGCAAGTACCATGAACAACATATGTAAAGAAAATGTTTTATTTAAAGTGTTAAATACCATCACCAGAATGAATTTGATTTACATCAGTCGGTGTTTGTTACAGGCCTAATCTGCCCACCCCCCCCCCCCCGTTTTTCCCTAACTGGAATTCCCTTTACTTGAAAACATTCTATGTACAGGGCAGCAACGGTCACTGGCATAGTGCTATTTACATGACGTAACCACAAGTTGAGGTGCAGACGTGTGAAAATTAAAAAAAAAGTACACAACTTTTAAAATAAATACTGCGTAATGACAAGTATGTACAAATATTCCACAGTCATGTCCTTCTTATTAAAATTAGAAATAATTTGTATAGGAATATGCAGAAAAGAGTATGCCGCTGCATGTTAGTGTCAGGGACATGGTAAATGTCTACTCTAAGGGAGAACAAAGACGCTGGGGGGGGGTCTATTAAACCAAATCGCTGCTGGTACACAGGTGTCTAAATTATTTCATAACATCGTGTTCCTTCTTTTCTCACCTTCACCTGGGTCTGTCATAGGTCGTCTCAGAAAATCAAGACACGATCTTGGTGTAGTTCATGTTGCACCACATAAAGAGAAGGCATTTTGAGTGATAGCTCATTTTTAACTTTTGCACCATATCAAGCATGACAGTTTTCAATGGTCAGCATTGGATTCAAAAGGAGAAACAAAGAAAATATTTTTTTGTGTGCATGGCCTCCATTTAAACAAATGGAATGCAGATGGATTTCAAAAATTATTGCAAGGAGTTAAAACCAATCTCTAAGGATGAGCAATCAAAGCATGGTAAGAAGAAGAAAGGATGGGTGCTTTATTACATTGACCAGTGACATTTCCTCTCATTAGGGACCTGGAGAGAAAACGGACCTTGTAGTGCCACTCAATGGTAAAAACTGCCCGTAAACCAAAGGTCCGGTTTTGACTTGAGGGATTTGCATGTAGACTTTTGGTGATGGCATCAAATAACTATTAAGAGGCAGATTGACTTTCTTCGAGTCCCCTAAAAATTGGAGCTTTAAAATTGTTGCAAATTTATGTTTACTATATTTCTTTAGAAATATAATTTGTGAAAAATTGAATCTTACTACAGAAAAATGAATTAATAAACAGCCCTGTGTTCCAGAGCTCCACATATTTAGCAGTGTTTCTATTCACATCGTAAATGGAAATCAGCTAAAGAAATTGCTTTAACAAATTAAAAAACAAACAAAACCTAAGACCTACAAATAATACTTAACCCCCTGTATGAATAATGCTGGTGCTAAAAACAAATTTGTCAGACATTACAATGCCGCATGATTTTAGGATTTTCCTGTAAACTCAGTTTTTAAGGTGAAAAGAAAAATTACCATGCACTGTACAGTAAACTGCAAATGTTCAATCATGTTCGTGGTCAAATATGTGCTGACTCGCTTTGTGTCCCAAGTCCTGTTGCCAAACCCTTTCGACATGCTTGAAACAAAGAAAGCTCTGGAACAGAACTGGGAAATCCATAAATTCAGACGCACCTGCGCCCTGAATCAAATACGGGTGTGAGGGGTCAGCTCAAAGACCTGTAGTGTTTTGTAGAGGGTTCACTCAGGGAGACAGGAAAGAAAAGGCTCAGAGTGAGGAGGCAAGTGACACGGAGGAAAGAAGTGAAAAATTTGCACATATCGAACTTCATAAGATCTGTATAGTGAACACGGAATATATTATACTTATTGTCACATAAAGAGGATTTTAAGTCCCTGCTAGAAAGTATTTTCATTTGTAATGTCTGCCAAAACACAGACTGTGATTAAAGAATAAACATGGTGTGTCTTGGTATCACCCTGTTGCATTCTCTCCCATTTTAAAACCATGCACTAGTGAAATTTATTTTTAAAAATAATATAAATTGTTGAAAATGGCTGATTTTTATTTTATTTTATTTTTATTTTTTTGCAAGTTGCAGCCCCGAGAAAATAATTTAAATATTCAGCTAATCTGTGTCCATGCAAAAAAAGTTTCTTTAATTTCATTCAGTACAGTGCAGTCACAGAGTTTTGATTTTCAGAGTCCAACACATCTTGGCATTAGTGAATGACACGCCTCCTGGAGCTCATCAGAGTCTCCCATAGTCCCTGCAGAGCCCCCTCCGGGAGGCAGCAGTAGCTGACTGGGCTCCTGACCACTTCTTTGGTCTCTTGCTTTTCACCTGATGCTTCCTAGGACTTCGCTCCTTGGCCTGTAGTGTGGCTTCACGGCTGTGAGCTCCATTTCTGTGGTACAACAGGCTTTGGGGTCAGATAAAAGAAGAAAAAAAAACGATAAAAATATGAAGGTGCCATTGAAAAGGGCTGACTGATTCTTTGAGATTAATCCATGGCTTCAGATTGGACCAGAACTCGATAGAGTGCCACTCAACTCCAAGCCTGACCGTTCTTCACAGCTGCTCTTTCACCTGAGGCCTGCGCTAGGGCACAATGTGTACGACTTCCTCTGAGAACACAGGATCGCTTTGTATCCCTAGACGTGGGCTCCGAAGACACAACGTCAAGCATGCAGTGTTACCAGGGGTTTTGACCTGTGCGTTTTCTTCTGTTTTTGTATCGCTGGTTGTTGTGACAACAGTTTGAGAGTTGCTATGAACGAGAGTAAGAAGGTCCAGTAGAACTTTCCAGAGATGACTGGGAAGCTCTTCTTGTCAGAGGTGCCAAGGTTGGATCTACTAGGGAGGAGGGAGGGAAGAGTTTGAACCACCCAATCACCATATTGGATAGTTCCAATTCGTCTAAAAGTATCTGAGCCACTCCCATAAAGGATTTGTGATCCATGCGGCCATAATCTCCCCAGACAATGATCTGTCGACAAGATAAAAGGCAATGTTAGTATAAACACACACATCACAACAGACAAGCAAAGTCAGAAGTAAACTGTGCTCAGCTAATGTCCTGCTGTGAAGGGCCAAGTTAAGTAGCCGAGTCTGATTAATGCCAGTGTTGCCTTTAACTCCCGGAAGCCAGGGTTCCATTAGGAAAACTGTGCCACAGGGTCAAGGGCTGAAGCCACACCAGGAAACAAGCTGGTGTATGACCCAGGTTTGCATGTCTGTGGGGAATTTCCCTGTAAGCAGAACAACAACAAACAGCTTTGACAGCACGGGCCTCTGCTTGCCGGCCAACAGAATTTCAGTTGTGAGGCACAGAGAAGAACTGGACAGGAGAGAGGCTAGATCCCGGGTCAGGCCCTGGGGAAGTCCTTTCCTGGGGCAGGGTCAGCCGTGGGTACACACCTGTAACACCTTTCCCTGGGGGCTCTCCTCAAAGGATAAGAGCTGCTGATACAGGGGCTCCAGCGTCTTTCTTGCTACCTTGGTTTTCTTCTTGGCTATGCAGACTCCATTGTCTAATAGATACACCTTGACATACGGTGCTGGGCAGAGAACAGAGTGAATGACAGTCATTGCTATGAAAGGCCCAGTTCACGGGGGCAAGGACAAGGCTCCAACTTCTCCCAAAAGCCACTGGCCTGCCCTCCGGTCAAAGACACAATGGACACTTATCAGGTATTCAGTTGTATGTCCACACAGCCTTTGAGGGTCTCCCCCCCACCCCAACTCTCTCTTGTATAGATTTCAATGTTGAATTAAATAAGGCAAATATGTTTGCAGTCCTGAACAAGATTCAAGAGCAATGCCTTAGTCTTTAAAGTACCAAAAGTTTGATTTCATTCAACATGCTTAAAATGGGGCCGTTTTACTCACCCCATAGCTCACTTTACCTCCCAAAGGCAATTATTAGCTGGGAATGGTGTGAGTACAAGCAGGGGGCTCTGAGGAGGTATGCTCACAAGAAACTTGGAGAGGCAGCTCAGTAGGAATTGTGTGACTAAGTCCTTACATGACAGACATTTCATGAAGAGCATGTCCCTGCAGCTCACTATTCAGTTACCCAAGACCTTCACAACACAATTGCAAAGTGATGCAGTCAGTGCAATCTACGTTATTTAAGAACTCCTTCCAGGACTGAGGAGTTGAGAAAGGAATGCAGATCTCTAAGTCTGTGCAGGTGATGGGATGGGGTCCTTTCGGGGCTCCCGAGTTTTATAGTCTGCATCCAATGCTCTTTGCACACAGCACACTTAGACTGTGACATTTCCATGCCTCCAAGTACCTTGACTTATAATGATGTTTCAATATGAAATGTGTGGCATCGAGTTGTGGTAGATGTTATTTACTGTCTGAGAGACCGGACCACGAGGTAAACAACAAAACCCACTTAAGAGTTTAATTAGTAAAGAGTAGGGAGAAGGGGTGTGCACAGGCCTGTCTGGAAAAAAAAGTGGCAAGAGAGTAATGGGTTGGGCGTATCTGCTTTTAAAGGTCACTTAGCACAAGTGCCACGCCACACATACTCATGGATTACGAGGCCAAGCTGCGTACAAATAAGGCCCTATGATGACTATGCATTTTGCCTGGATGTTGATGGCCCATGTGTGGCCAATCCTGGAGGTGCTAACACCTGGGATGACAGGGCATTTTGCCTGAATGCTGATGGTCACACAGGTGGCCGTGGGACTCTGGAAATGACAACCACAGAGTCTCTCCCATACTACAGGACTGAATGTGTGTCTTAGAGTAGCTAGCAATCATAGGCTTATGGGACTGCGTGAATCTAATCTATTTTTATTCTAACTCCAGAGCTTGAAGGCTGCCTAGGGACAAATCTGAAGTTCCTGGTAAACGGAAGAATAACACAAACCAGCAGCTAACTGGAAAGTGAACTTCTAGTGCACACACTGTGACAATGTGACTGAAGATGGAGGCCTCAACTGTGTGTGTATGTGTTCAGAAACATGTATGACCCCTACCAGATCTCTCAGAACATGTGCAGACTGCTTCAGTCCCCAAGCGGCACAATAATGGCGTTATCTACTCACACCTTGATTAAGAAGATTTCATGGAAACAACATAGACTGAGAAATGACAGTAAAATCTCTTCTGTTTTACCTGGCAGTGTCTTGGAACCTGGTTTTACAACGAGGCCGCGGGCCCGAATGATTTCCACCTCCAATTGCCCCTTTTTGTCCATCATTCCCACCTGAATATCACCTGGTGGGACACAGGGAAGAAAAACAGGAAGTAGGAGGAGTGCCTCTGCCAAAGAACTTGGCTTCAGACATTTCCCAGATGTTTTCTTAAGCCCCCAGATGTATTCATTCTTTAAGATTTACATGTTCTCAGAAGTATGCTGCTTTAAAGATGAAAAGAAATTACAAAAGGAAAAACAAAACAAAAAACCCCACAAAAACCTAAGAACATAACTTAAAATCTGGGACTCTTTATTCTTGCTGGTAATCTTGTTAATAAAATGACATCATGAACTTGAATGTTCAATAATCTAAAGGACAAACAATGAAACTACGTGACAGAAATGCTTACCCATTGCAGGAGTAGCCAGGGTCTGGCGTCCCACTAGCTGAGCAGGGCCCAGGCCATCAAGGAAATCACTGAACTGGCTGTCTGAGGCCAGGCGGACACCAGGAAAAATCAGACTGAAAGCAAAATGACATGTAGGATTAAATACTCAACCGTCCCTCCTTTCAGGCAAGCCCGTTTCCTGCTGGCCTCATTAGTGTGGCCAGGCTAAGGTGACACTAATAGTCACTGCACTCCAACATCCCAGGCCACCTCCCAACACTCTTGGTCCATCTTGCATTCTCTAGACTCCTGTGCCTGTCACCAGGCCTTGGTCTCCTCTTGCTATCTTGGCTCCTATGACTCCTGAAACCACTGTCTTAACTTCTTATTGGATTCTCTTGTATGGCTCACACCCAGCTCATTGCACACTGACTGGGATACTAGAAGGTAATATTTGTTGAATGAATTCTTGAGTGTTCATGTTATTTCTCCAATCAGAAGGTAAACATCTGAAGTGGAAGCCATGCTTGGAACTTGTGTGGGGGGACCATGCTGCAAACATTTTTATAGCCATCAATGGTTCACATAGGCAGTGCTCAACACATTTATCTTTCACTTTTCTTCCAGAACATATTTCTTTAGTTAATTGTATGGAGCGTGTCACACGCCTGTGACTGGGCCACTACCACACTCGTCTTTCCCTTAGGTCTCCATTTCCTTTGGACTTCCTTGATGATCAGCAAATCTATTTCTTTCCCTTCACCCCACGTCTCAAAACTTCAACCTGTTTATACAGCCCTATTTAAAAATTGCAGGATTATGTACTTCTCCTTTATTTGTATGGTCATGTTGTTCAAAATATCATTAGGATATATAATCAACTGTAAGTCAAGATTTCCTATGGTTTTGAATCTGTGAATTGGCTACATGTGTCTAAACACGGAACACTTTCATGTTGATGGCAGAGTGAGGCCCTAAGTCTCATCTTCCTCTCCTCATGTCCTCTGTGTCTAATCTACAGATCAGAACTCACTCAGTACTGCTGTGTGTTGGGGACAGGGCCACCCCATGCTTACAAACCTTTCCAAGTGTCTTATGGGAATGGATTAAAAAAAAAAAGCTTTTACAAAGAGAAAAAAATTCCCCAATTCCTCGTCACTACTGTCTTTGATTATGGCTTCACATATTTAAGGTAAATCATATAAATTTCAGTTCATAAATTCTTCAGTAGCATCTCCTCAACAAATCAAAGAGTTTTCAGATTAAAATTATTTTTAAATTATGTGTCTGGGTTGTTTTGCCTGCATGTATGCCTGTGGGCCAGAGGAGGCCATGGAAGGGAGTCTGATGTAGAACCGTAGCTACAGTTGTGAGCCAGTGTGTGGGTACCAGCTCAAGTCCATCCTCTGGAAAAGCGTCAGTCAATGCTCTTAACCTCTGAGCTATCTCTCCAGCCAAGACTGAAGATTTTAATCTTTCTACACAGTGTGACATGTATGTTCACTATTTCTGTGATCTTATTTATCATTTTAAGCTAGGACACACTATTTTATTTGTAGGTCACGTTGAGAGTCACACTGTAGCATCCTGTCATGGAGGTAAAGCACTTTATCTCCCCCAAGCTAATTCATTTGAAATTACATCAACTGATGAGTGTGAAACAAGTTCTCAGGACTCAAACAGCGAAGATGGAAACAGGCTGTGAGCCTGTGAGTTAGCTCTTGTGCGAGCAGGGCATGGGCCAGGCCTCACTCACTTTCCTTCGGAGCTGTAGCTGTTCATGCTGCCGTCTGTGGATTCCCGGCTGGCCTGCCTCGTCATCCAGTTCCTCATCTCCACGGCCAGGCCGGTTTCGGTGCTTCTCTGGACCGTGCTCCGTAGTTTTTTACCCCCGGCTTCTGCAGAGACAGAAATCCAAAGGCATCAATCGGGGTTCTGTCATTGCTGCCTGGTTACAGAACAGGCTGGCCAGCGCCCAGTAGACTGCAGATGTGAGGGACTGCTGAGAGAGAGTGATCATAAGGAGATAAGGTACTTTAAACACCTCCAAACGGTGTCTCTGAGTAAGCAGCATGAAGTGCCACTGTTTATTTGCACTTAAAACAGTGTTCCAATAATTAACATAAGAAACAAACAGGTTCAAACTGAGGATACTAAGCTTTGTCTTCACTGTGACACTTAAATTACCATATCAGTTTATGCCTCTTCATTCTGTTATTCATTGGAATTTTGAAATGCAAAATTAATTTATGCTTACCTTTCCCCTCAATTCCTTTTGTTTTAGCGAAAGAAATAGGCCTTCATATTACTTACAAAGAGCCAGATGGTGAGAGATACTCAAGTTTTAGCTTTAACTTTTATAAACAACCTTTAGGGTGACAGCTATGAAAAGGCAAAGAACGCTATACAAAGGGGAAATCCCTGTTTGATGACAGTTTTGAACCTGCTGGCAACTTCCAGAAAGATTGTATAATACAAAACCCCTGAAGTGTCATGGGAAGGACTCGGACAGCCATGTCTCAGTGGTTGTAACCAGTGGGGTTTTCTCTCAGAAGGCCACGAGAGGATCAGCGCTGAGGAAGACAGAGAAGTGTGAGCATAAATGAGCTAAGACCTGCTGCCTGGAGACCACAGCTCCAGAGAGGGAGTGGGATTTGAGCTGCGCTTGAAAAATTTGCCAGCTGAGACTCCAGGAAAAGAACAGTGTGTTTTGGGCAAGAGAGACTGCATGGACAAACGAGCAGACCCAGAGTTATCGTGTGTAGAGAGGAAGAGCCATGACTGAAGCGTGGAAAGGAGAGGTGGGAAGTGGGGGATACACGGAAAAGCCCAAACTAAGAGTCCGGCACGTTGGAATATGGAGCTGGGAGACTACCAAAGCCGAGTCCATTTGCTTCTTGGCAGGGCTATTTTATTCACACTGGCTATGGAAGCCAGTAGCTGTTGGAGATAAAGAGCCATGGGATGTGCTCTTCCGGGGGCTGGTATTAGTGAGTTCTCTTAAACGCTATTGGTGATGCTGATGCAATCAGATTCTTTGTGCCAAACTTCTCATATTTGCTCCTCTTTGAAACATTGCTTCCAACTCTACCGATTTCTCATGTCCAATTCTGATACACATTATAATGCCTTGGAGTCTACACAAAATGCACACATGACTGCTTTCCACCTAATCAGAAGATGCTATTTCAGATGAGTAGCATACACGCTGCACTGTTAAAAGTAAGAAGACAAAAGGCTTCCCCAGTGATGGGGGTAAGTTTTTCATCATAGAGGGATGTTGGTAATACTGACTTGATGAAATTCATTTCACCAAGCTTCTTACATTTGCTTCACTTTGATAAAGTTAAAAATACTAATTTGTAGCCTCCTGTGGAGTAAGGGACTTAAGCATGGCTCACCACTGAAGACTACCATTAAAAGTTAGACCCTGAAAAAAGATGTATGAGCCAAGTGATCAGTCCACAGACTAGCTCTGTTAGGGGAGTAAGAAGATAATTTATCATGGAAGACAGGGCCACCACCATCTTAATCAAGTCACTGAATTCAGCAGCACTGGGAAGGGTGCAATTGTATGTACCTCTCATGATATGAAGCAGTCCAGTTGTTCTGGACAAAAGTGTACTAACTGTTTCTAAGCAAGTCTTTTGGTTTTCAGAAGATACAGAAGGTGAAGTCACAAGGCAAATAGCATGCACAAGCAAAGCTCCAGACAAAATCCAGATATGGTATACTGTTCAAGGGAATTGGCCTGGTCTCTTCTAAAAAGTTAACACCATGGAAAAAAGGTCATCTAGATTAAAAGATAGCAAGGAGACAGAAGCCAGTGATCTTGGGTATATGCAATTTTGCCTTGTTTATAAAATGAAAATGAAGTAGGAAGTCTTTTTAACAAAAGCATAGACAATTTCAAGACAGGTAGGGCAAATTTGAATACAGATTGGATATTTGATGAGAAAGCTGCTCAACTCTTAGGTAGATTATAACAAGCACTATAATGAATTTCCTGACTATTAGATACATGTCAAATATTTGGATGCAAAACCATCTATTATCAGTATTTTACTTTCAAATGGTATAGAAAAAAAAACACAAAACAAATATGCACATGCATACGAAGAGTTATTAAAAAAAGATGAGGTGGCAGAGTAGGCTGTACTATACATCAGTCTAATATTAATGATGACCTTTTTGCATGTCTCTGTGTGGTGCAAGTGTATATGTGCATGTTTGCATAATTTTAAGGGCATGGGCCACATACACGTGGCGGCCTGAGGCTGATCTCAGGTCTTCCTCAGCAACATTCCATCTTACTCACTGAAACAGGGCCTCTCAGCTTGATGTCAGGCTAATCTCCAGGCTGCTGAGATTACAGGCAGCCCCCATGCCTGACATTAATTTCCATGGGTGCTTGCTTGGGATCCATATTCTAGTCCTCACACTTTGTTGCCATCTCCTTATCCTGGCAGCCATCTCCCTAGTTGCTAAGATTTATTATTTTATTTCAGAGTGATCTTCAAATAGCTACATCACAAAGTAGTATGATTTTTTTTCTCTCGGAAATCATGGAAACGCTAGGCTGATATGATGAAGACTGTGTGAGGGCTAAGTTCCTGTTTTGATGTTCATTCCTTTCAGCACTATGCCATCTCCTGAGACATACTTCCATGGCGTCTGAGATGTCTAGACACTCTTCAGTGTCCTCTGAGATGTCTAGACACACTTCAGTGTCCTCTGAGATGTCTGGACATGCTTCAGTGTCCTCTGAGATGTCTGGACACGCTTCAGTGTCCTCTGAGATGTCTGGACACACTTCAGTGTCCTCTGAGATGTCTGGACACACTTCAGTGTCCTCTGAGATGTCTGGACACACTTCAGTGTCCTCTGAGATGTCTGGACACGCTTCAGTGTCCTCTGAGATGTCTGGACACGCTTCAGTGTCCTCTGAGATGTCTGGACACACTTCAGTGTCCTCTGAGATGTCTGGACCCACTTCAGTGGCATCTGAGATGTCTGGACCCACTTCAGTGTCCTCTGAGATGTCTGAACACACTTCAGTGTCCTCTGAGATGTCTGGACACGCTTCAGTGTCCTCTGAGATTTCTGGACACACTTCAGTGTCCTCTGAGATGTCTGGACCCACTTCAGTGTCCTCTGAGATGTCTGGACCCACTTCAGTGTCCTCTGAGATGTCTGGACACACTTCAGTGTCCTCTGAGATGTCTGGACACACTTCAGTGTCCTCTGAGATGTCTGGACACACTTCAGTGTCCTCTGAGATGTCTGGACACACTTCAGTGGCATCTGAGATGTCTGGACACACTTCAGTGGCATCTGAGATGTCTGGACACACTTCAGTGTCCTCTGAGATGTCTGGACACACTTCAGTGGCATCTGAGATGTCTGGACACACTTCAGTGGCATCTGAGATGATAATACACACACACACACACACACACACACACACACACACACACAAACAGCATAGCGAGGAACCTAGGACATCCAAGGATAAAGGAACCTAGGTTCCTGACCATCTCAGGACACAGCACAGCAATTCTAAAACCTACTGTTTTCTATTCAGTCTTACACTGTGGAGCAAAAGTGACTTGAAAATACAGTTAATGGGTGATGAGAACCGGACACCACTTGGCTAAGAATAACAGCATTTTAAGAAAAGCAGGCAACCTTTCTGTTCACAGCTGCTTTACTCACATAGCCTCTTCACAAGTTTTAAATTCCCACTTTTACAGACAAAGTATCTGAGGGCCCAGCAGGTCACAAGGTTCCCTGGAGCCTCAGAGCCAGTGACAGGACCAGAATGTGTACTCAGTTGCCGGACTCTGCGTTCTCTGTTATCCATTAGCTCACTGTTAGAATATAACTAAGCACCCAGTAGCCATGTAGCTGATTGTGAGATGACGCAAAGCAGGCCTTGGGAAGGAGCCTGGTGGCCCGGGAAGGAGCACAAGCCCTGGTGTCACATTGCTTCCCTACTCTAACTGTATGGCAGGCACTGAGCAAGTCACCCCAAACATTCTCAAATTGTGAGATAATAAGACATAGTGGGCAGGACTCGGGTGATATCTAAAGAGCTTGGAAGAGTATCCTGAAACAAAGGTCTTCAGCCAAGGCATTGTTAGAAGATCCAGAGAGGGAAGATGGCAACAGGCTCTGACGGGTCTTGGCCACTAACTACGACCACTAACTAGCTACTTGCACAGAGTTCTCTAAGTCATAGTTCCTCTCAGAGTCTGGGACTACTGGTCTACGAAAAGGGCAGGGAGAGGAGAGCAGATGGAACCTGACACCCTTTACCTCTAAAGTCTGTGAATTTGTCTCATTAGTGTACAAAAGGCCATGATTAACAGCCCTGTGCTGAGGAGGTATGATACTGTCAAGGAGTCAGTTCCTAGCTAAATAACTTACAGTAGCCCTTATAAACTTGTCATTTTTATATATTCCATTATCTGAAACATTTATAGGCATATTTATACATTTTCAGCACCCTAAGAATCTTCATGTCACATTCACAGTAAATGAAATTTAACTTCACTATAATGCATTATGGCGATTCACACGTAATGCTCCAAATGATGAGACGTTGCTATGCACCCTAAAAACTGAATCCATGTAACAGAGAAGGTCTGTGAGAGTGAGACAAGTGAGGCAGGCACAAGTCTATGCTGGTCCTGATGGCCACGTTACTCTACAATTAGCAAAAGGGATTTTACTAACTGACGAAGGTAACTGATGAGCCGTTTAAAGGTAGGGAGATTCTGTGAGAGGGCCAGGATAGCCATTCCAGGCCTTTAAAAGCAGAGTGCTTTCTCTGGCTGGCTTCGGAAGAGGAAATCTGAGAAAGCAGAATCACAACAAAGATTCTTTGTGCCTTTGC